TTCTATTTTAATTCTACTTTATCTATTTATCTTCTTTATTTAAAAAAAGCTTTCTATTCTATCTACTTGTTTTTCATTGTGCGTGTGTGTGTATAAAATATATATATATGTATATATATATATATATATATACACACCTTGCTACGTGTACTGCGTTGAGAGACTTGTCATTTGCACTTATATATTGTTGCTCTTTTGTTAGTTTTGACTGCTTTTATTGTCCTCATTTGTAAGTCGCTTTGGATAAAAGCGTCTGCTAAATGACTAAATGTAAATCACACAGAGTATGCGTGCACTCTCTGGGTGTGTTTTTGTGATATACTCGATAATGTTAGATCACACATATGTGTATTTCTTAAATGTATCCAGGGTAAAGAATAAAATAAAGAAAGTAATAGGACTAACCTGTTGAAGAACAGTAACAGCAGATGCCCATCCAGGAAATGTGAACAAGAGTTTGCTGGAGTAAGAAAAGCAGAATTCATTTTCAATTTTTCGATTATCAAACAACATTTGCTGTACTACATTATATGTACTGCTACATAATTAACATAAAAGTTCCATCTCAAAAATTCTGTTAAGAAATTCTAAGAAATATATTTTTTTAAATTGTGAAATAAATGTTATTTGAACAATTTAAATATTTTAACATTTTAATAATGTATTATAAAATGTAATTTATTTCTGTGATGCAAAGCTGAATTTTTTAAAAGTAATATCTGAAACAGAAATCTTTTGTAACATTAGAACTGTCTTTACTGTCACTTTTGACAATCGTATGCATCCTTGCTAAATTAAAGCATTGTTTATTTATTTATTTTTGAAAAGTAATATACATCATAGCAGAATTTGGTCTGCTGGCTTTAATTGTGCTGATTTTAATTTTTAAAAATGGTGCGTTCATAGTATTCTTGTAACTTTATTAATGGTATTAATGAAGAACACTATGGTTATACAAAATGTGCTTACTGTAATGTCATTATAACCGATACAAATAATCAAAAAATAATCTTCATTCTTTCAAAAGTCACTGTAAATGCCACAAAGACCATCAAGTACACTCAGCGTTCATTAGAAGTGCATACTTTGATTTGATGTTCCATAACTGAAGACTCCCTTGACTGCTTCCAAACAGGATTTTGTTCAGGTAGGTGCTCGGATGCATCAAAGCAGAGACTTCAAATGATGCTTTGTCATATGAAATCTGCAGATATGTGTCTGCAATGTGAGAAAGACAAAATATATTACATTCACTGTGAAGATATCCTTGTTTCTTCTGAAAGAAAGAAATGTAAGCATAGCAAAAATAATAACAAACCAACCCTCAGACTCCACATCCCAAATAATGACAACATTGTCCTTGTCAACAGAAATCAGATGATCTCCGAAAGGCAACAGCAAGTGCACATCAGCTTGATGGCCTATGTATGTGTGAACAACCTGGATGGAAGAGACAAAAAGACATATTATTACTAATTTTTATTTAATCTAAGTCTCTTTAGTGTTATGCATCTTTTAGAACACAGTATGTGTCTAACTGTAACACATTATGCTTTACCTCTTTGTTTTTAGCAAAAGCACAAATGAGTTTTCCAAATGCAGCATAGACAAGCATACGATCTGCCGCCAGGGATGAAATGTCTTCTGGGAGGGCATTACCTATACGGGTGGTTATTACAACTGTTTTAATCAAATGCATATGGGAACTATAACCATTTGATCATGGATTCGCAGAAAATGCACTGTACTGTAAAATAAATCTACTGAATCGTACTTACTGACTGCAACGATTCCAAGTTTCTTCACCTGCCAGAAAAAAAGATGGGTTCATTTTATACTTCACTGAAAGAATTAACATAAACTAATAAAGCCCATTGTTTTATTACTTATAATTATTAATCAAGTTATTATATTAGTATTAAACCTACTAAGCATGTAATCTAACTTTAACACCTCCATATTTGGTTAATTACTGTATTTAAAGTATGGGTTACACTTTTTTCAATTTATTTTCAGGGGTCCTGTTACAGTTTAATTACATAGTAATATTAATTAACAATTTGTACTTACTATAGAGTTGAGTTTGGTTTAGTTGATTGTAATTACACAATTTACAGTTACTATAGTTTAATTTACTACAGTGAGTAATTATAATGCATAATAATGTGTAAAAAAAAGTGAAACCAGTTTAATCAGTGTCAAAACTACTAGTACTGTACTACCAAAAAGTACTATGGTATGGTACACGGAGTACCTATGTTGCTACTTTTTTTGGGTGTGGTATCATGGTACAACCCCTGGCAAAAATTATGGAATCACCACACTTAGAAGATGCTCACACAAATGTTTTAATTCATAAATAAACAAAATCACAGATATGCCACAAAACCATTTTTGTTTAATAATTCACCATTCTGGTTATGTGAAACATACCTCAAACAAATTAGATTAAATTAAAGGAAAACTGTTTTCCATATCAACTAGAGGAAACAAAATATGGAATCATCAACCAAAAAGCACAATTAATTTGTTGCTCCACCTCTGGCTTTTATGATGGCCTGAATTCTTTAGGGCGTGGACTTCACTAATGAAAAACAATATTCTTTATCAAGCTGGTTCCAACTTTCTCGAATAGCGGTTGACAGATCAGCTTTGCAAGATGAAGCCTGGTCACGGACCAGTTTTTTTCAATTTCCACCATGAATTTTCAATTGGATGTATGCTGCGTTCAAGTCCTCCTGGGACGTTCGTACTTACGAGTTGACAAGTCGTAATTACGACGTCAGTCGGCACAAGATGGCGGTGTACCTTCTTTTAATAAATTACAAGAAAATACAACAGGGTCTGTTAACTCTGCTTATAGAAAATGAAGAGCAAAGAATTCGCATCAGGTGTGTTTTGCGTTTTCAATATTTTTTTTTAGACCAGGATCCCAGTATAACTGATTTTCAGCATCAACAAATGCTAAAATACAGATTAAAAAAGCTGTTAGCTAAATGCAACATGGCAAATCAAAAGTTTTTCACCTATAGGTGCAAAAACGATAGCATTTTTTCCCCTTGGATTTCATTAACTAGCTGCGTAACAAGAACATGACCAATTTAAGTTTATAGGACAACTAAACTATCAATTTAAACAAAAATTTACTGTCAACTACAGACGTTGCATCCATCGATTCCGCCATGTTTCTCATTGACACGCCTCCAACTCGGAAACTCTGGGCTTAAAGAAAATGTCGAGTTTCCCACTCGTAATAACGACTTTGTGGTGGCGTTCATGTGCGTTCAACTCGTAAATACGATCTATCCGACATGACTTGTACGCACCATAAGATCCGGCCATGTCATTGAGTTGATATGCCTTTCCTGAAGAAAAGCTTTAACACTCTGTGGCAAGATGCATTATCATCTTGAAAAATGACATCCGTCACCAAACTTCTTTTCTATCGATGGAATGAGAAAAGTGTCCAAAATTTCAGTGTACACCTGTGCACTGACTGTTAAGGTAGGATTGCCATTTCTCCTGGTCCTTTAACTGACACGCTGCAACCCCATTTCATTAATGAGCTGGGAAATGTCATTGTTTCCTTCAGGCAGTCATCTTTATACGTTTCATTAGAACAGCACCAGACAAAAGTCCCAGCATCATCTCCTTGTCAGATTGATGATTCATCACTGACTGAATATCACTTTCATCCAATCATTCACACTCAACGACTGCTTCTCTTTAGCCTCTTGTAACCTTGTTGTCTTCTGTTTAGGTGTTAATGCTGGTTTTCCTTTGGCTTTTCTATATGTAAATCCCATTTAATTCAGCCAATTTCAAACAGTTCTGTCACACACTGCCCATTTGTTTCGTTGTGCATTTTCTATTTTGAAGGCAAATTGCTTTGTTTTCTATCCTGACACTTTGACGTCTTCCTTGGTCTGCCTGTATGTTTTCCTTTTACAACCTTTCCATTTTGTTTATACTTGCACCAAATTTTAGAAACAGCTGACTGAGAACATCCAACTTCTTTTGCCACACTCCATGTTGGATTTCCGTCTTGAAGGAGTTTTATAGACCTCTCCATCGTTTCAACTGACCACTCTCTTGTTGGGGCCATGTTTCCTTTCTATTAGCCAAGTCCAACAGCAGTAAGCACTCTCTTTTAAAGGGGTCATATGATGCGTTTTCAATTTTTCCTCTCTTTGAAGTGTTACAAGCTCTTGGTGCATAAAGAAGATCTGTAAAGTTGCAAAGACTAAAGTCTCAAATACAAAGAGATATTCTTTATAAAAGTTAAGAGTCAGCCACACCTACCTAAAACGGCTCGTTCTAACACGCCCCCACATATCTACCTCACGATGTGGGAAGATTTGCATAACGCCGCCCAAATGTTCACGCAAAGAAAGAAGGCGTAACTTTTATTCTCGCTGTAGTTTTGTTGTTGTTTCTATTCTAATTTATTGAGATGCACCTGTAAGTGCAAAGGACAAGTCTCGGTTAGCCTAACACAGTACACGTAGCAAGGTGTGTATAACCCAGTCCATGTAGGGCTGCTGAGTTCACACTAACTAATAAGATGAATAAGTCAACATGTAATGGCATTCGCAAGCCATTTTATTTCCATTTGGTGACCTATTTCTGAGTGAAAAAGGATTAAGGGTTTGAAAAAAGGTGCTTAATTTTATCCATCTGAATTTATACGGATTGAAGAGTCAGGTGGTTGAGAAACAAGCAGACTTGGTGACGTTGGCTATAAAGGAAAGTCATTTCAGATATGGTGCTGCTGATATACTCAGATATACTGCTGATGGGAACGATAATTGTGTGTTTAAAGGTGAACTCCATTATTTAAAAACTTTACAAAGAAAGAAATGAATGGTACTTTTGAAAAGTATGTTCATCATGTACACTTCAGTCATATTAGTAATCTAATAAAAGCTGTTTATCATACATGGAGGACATGTTCATGAGGACAGACATGCGGGAATCACATGAACAGATGAATACTAGTCACTCAGAAACTCTCCTAATATTGGTCACTGTTGTTTCCAGAATAAATCATTCATTGTTAATGTGAATGTTGCATTTTTACTGTCTAAATTTATTGAAAAGCATTGCTTTGCATGATCATACATCCAGGCCACTAGGTGGCAGTAAATCCAAGACTGGCATAACAGCTAAAATGTTATAAATAAATACATAAATAAATAACAATGACAAAAGAGCGTAACATTACTAAAATTTTAAATTAAAATGACAACTCAAAATATATATAAAAAAATACAATTATAATAATATTAAAATAACACTGATAAATATCAGGTTACTACTGACTAAATATAGAACAGTCAAATAAGGCTGAAAAAATATAAATATTAAATGATTGAAATAAGTTTGAGTATATGTATATATATGTATCTATATGTATATATTATGCACACACATATACACACACACACACAAAGAAAAACAAGTAGATGGAATAGAAAAAATAGAAAGCTCTTAAAAAAAAAAAAAAAAGAAGATAAATATAGATAAAGTAGAATTAAAATAGAATAGAAAGTGCTAGAGTTAGAGGGTCAAATAAAGGTGGAACAGATGTGTTTAAATTAATGTGTTTAAAATTACCATATCACATCAAAGAATAATGAAAACAAAAACATTGGTAGATCTTTCTGAACAGCGGCTAACAGCCAGCATGTATAGATAAACACTGCACTCTCAGAGAGAGAAAAAAAAGAAAAAGAAACAAAAGCTGTCACTAGGGCAGATGATTAGAGTAAAATCCCAGCGTAAAAGTACCATTTCAAAATAATACAACTACGTACATATATGCAGTCTTTGGTACATAAGGTAATTTGGTACCTTAAAGGTACATATTTGTGGCTAAAGTATGCATATTACACTCTAAAAAATGCTGGGTTAAATACAACCCAGTGCTGGGTATAATAGGGACAAACCCAACAATATAAAAATAAAAAAAAGATAAATATAGATAAAGTAGAATTAAAATAGAATAGAAAGTGCTAGAGTTAGAGGGTCAAATAAAGGTGGAACAGATGTGTTTAAATTAATGTGTTTAAAATTACCATATCACATCAAAGAATAATGAAAACAAAAACATTGGTAGATCTTTCTGAACAGCGGCTAACAGCCAGCATGTATAGATAAACACTGCACTCTCAGAGAGAGAAAAAAAAGAAAAAGAAACAAAAGCTGTCACTAGGGGAGATGATTAGAGTAAAATCCCAGCGTAAAAGTACCATTTCAAAATAATACAACTACGTACATATATGCAGTCTTTGGTACATAAGGTAATTTGGTACCTTAAAGGTACATATTTGTGGCTAAAGTATGCATATTACACTCTAAAAAATGCTGGGTCAAAACAACCCAATTGCTGGCTTTGTCTCTATTTTACCCAGCACTGGGTTGTATTTAACCCAGCATTTTTTAGAGTGTAGTAGCTAATTAGTACATATTTGTACTTTTTGAAAAGGTGCTGCCCCAGTGTATAAAGCTCTTGTACCTTTTTTTCTGAGAGTGTACTGTTCAAAACATTGATGTTTCTATCCATTTTTTATTTTTGAAAGGAGGGTCTTACCAAACATATCCCAAACTTTTTACTAAACATGTAATCAATCTGATGGCCCTACAATCATGCTTGTTCAATTGTGTCGTGAGATCTCCTTGACTAAAAATCATCAGTGTTTATGGACAACTGCCAAAATGGACTTGATTTTAAACGTATAACTTCCTCTTTTTATACTTTCTTGTAAATAATTGGGCAAAATGGCATAATTCAGCAAATCAAAACAAAAATGTTTGAAAATAAAACTTTCATGCTGTGCACATTTTACCATCATCCATCCATCCATGCATCCATTTTCCAAACTATGTAGGGTTGTGGGGATTCTAGAATACATAGCCACTTCAGACATGTTTGTGAGTTTTTACATAAAATTAAGAAAACAATATTAAGAACAGTACTAATATTAATTGATATTATTAATTGAAATGTAATATATTTGTTCTTACACAGCTGTCTCTTTTCATCTCTTGTATATTCTGCTATTTTGAAGAGTTTCAAGCTAAAGTCCAGTTTAAGATGCGTGTAAGATTTCTTATTTCATGCATCTGGAAAATAAAATGAAGTATAGGCAATATTACAATTTCTATTCTGTTTTCCCCCATATTTATTTATTCAGTTAGTTATTAGTTTAAGATGTAGTTATTAGTTAGTTATTCGTTTTAGATTTAAAATTTAGTTAGTTATTAGTTTAAGATTTTTTTTCAGTGCTTAAAGTAAATATTAATATTTCTATGTGCATTGAAAGCTGTTGTATACACATACATACACCTTTGTTGACATTTGTGTGTAGCTCGGCAACCACTTTGTTGGAACCACAAATTACAACTGTTTCTGAGAAACTACATTGTTTGGTGGAAGAATACCATTTTTATTTATATCATTACACTTTATTTCATCTGTGAAATCTTACTACGTATATGGAATAACCATTTTATAAAAGCAATAAGCCCCATGAAGCCGTGGTTTACAGTGAATTTATAACAGCTAAGGGGCGTTGTTAAATCCCCTTAGCTGTTATAAATTCACTGTAAACCACGGCTTCATGGGGCTTATTGCTTTTATAAAATGGTTATTCCATATACGTAGTAAGATTTCACAGATGAAATAAAGTGTAATGATATAAATAAAAATGGTATTCTTCCACCAAACAATGTAGTTTCTCAGAAACAGTTGTAATTTGTGGTTAACATGCTACGGCAAGTCATAATAATAACTACGCAAGGTTCACACAAAACAGATTTTAGACATTTATTTTAAGCATGGTGCCCAATAAATGAGAACTTGATTATTTACTTACCCAGGAAGCAGAGGTACGTTAATTCTACACATGCACTCTTGTGTATATAATGGCTTCCAATTCAATGAACTGCATTTTGAATCTCTTATATCATGTTAAACCTGGCAAACAGAAACCTTTTCACTGTTTGAAACACTGGCACAAGTTTCACTGAGGTGCAAATAATAACTTAATGACATAATTTCGTTAAGAACTTGGCACAGGCCTTAAACCATTGTTGCCAAAAGAAGAACAATCACATTCACACACCACATTATGAAACCTGGTGGCCACTGATGAAATGGAGAAACAGTATGGGAATATAATTACAAAAGTCGGTGTTTCAGAAATATTAGACATGTTTTGGCGCTAGTGGATAGTTGGGGGTCACCATAATAATAATTTCAATCCAGTGCTAATGTGAAAGCATACTGACTATTTTGCATAAATGTGTCGTGCAATTAACAAGACAACCAGTGCTTTATGAAACAACGTACGCAAGTAGACTAACAAATCACAGGAAGAGGTGAAGAAAACCTCAATATCTGCAATTATCAATTCATATTAGGACACATTTTTGGAATGTCTAACTCTTTGAGGCGAATTAGGAAGGAATCGATGTTTTCCGAGTCATTCTACTTAAGCATTTCGCAGCAGCGTTGAGTAGATCATCTTGGTGATCTGCAGAACTGCGGCATGAAGCGAGTACTGCACCACGATGGAGCCGAAGCCCTTGTAGAAGCCCATGGTGCCCTCCTCACGCCGAATAGCATTAATACAGTCCCTCATTCCTTCATACTGCGAGTTAATGGGCAAAACCTCGAAACCCAGGTCAGTGTTGTCGATGATAGTGCGTGTTCCCTGGATATGCAGCCTGTGCAACACCGTTTCCAAAGGAAACAGCAGCACATCTGCACACAGGCTGGCAGCAAAGCTGGCCATGAGCTCAGGGAAGTATGCCTCCAGCATAGACTGGACCGCGTCCGCTTGCGAGTCAGGGGACAAGTGCTTTGGTGAGCCATTATTCCGACGCCGCAGCAGGTAAAGAACCAGCCGCTGCACGCTGGAACTGATAACATAGTGGAGGATGCCGTGGAGGACCGTGGGGAACAGCAGGTTCCAGAGGGGAAGGAGACGCTTGCTGTGAGGCACTCCCATCCCCATAACTCGCCCGATTCCTTCTTTCACACAATCCAGGATGCCGGGGTTGTCTCGG